TTTTATTAAAACGGATCTGAGAAGCTTGAAAACAATGTTAATTATACTGTTCTATATACCATTTTGTTTGGAAAATCATGGGCTTCAATATTATACATAGAACATAAGGAATATTTGTTTAAAAAAAAAAAATTTAGGTAAAAAAAAAATATTTTGGAAAATTTTCCAAAAAAAAAATAAGTTCGCGCTCAATGAAATTGTATAAATTATAGGCCTATAAATATTTGAAAATAGCCACTTTGTTCAAAATTTTATGAGGATTACAAATATATAATAATATAAGGAAGTAAATTTGCAAATAAATAAGTTATGGGCAAAAAACAGATTTCAGTACATAGCGTTTAGCTAAGAATGCATAGCCTAACCATAGCTAGGAATCTGGCTGATAATTTACATCAATATCACTACCTACTTCTTCAGGATCATCAACCAGCCCTTCAAAATCACTTAAATCTTCTTATAATGCACCACGTATATCACTACTTTTGATTTTTAACACTAAAAGAATGATAAACGTAATAAAACACATCAGTCATCGGTCCGAGTCTAACCAAGCTGTTTACAAATACGCACGTCTGCTGTTTGCTACAATATTTTCGGAACTAAAATGAATAGCGCTTAGAGACAGACCTCCGGAGAAAGCTCTGAATCTGTCAAATAAAACTATACCTAACTCGATCCAGTTCAATCCCATTTTGTCAGTCATAGAGCCTTTGCCGTAAACAGTGTTTGTGAGTCGCTGCAGCGACACAAAACATTACACAAAGTGTGTTATGTGTCGCTGCAGCGACAAATAACACTCGGAGGGTTAAAAGTTCTGAGGTGAAGATTTTAAAAGTAAATATTGGTTCAAGGCCACACTAAAAAAAACAGGCTCTGCCAAGCACCCTGCTGACCCTGCTCGCCAAGCATGACGTCACGATAGAAGACGGCTATGACGTATAAGTACTTATTTATTTATTTTCCAATGAAAGATTAAAACAAGCAGCTGATCACAAACGGCAAAATTACATCATTGCCGTCTTCTATCGTGACGCCATGCTGGACGAGCATTACGGCCTGTTTTTTTAGTGTGGCCTTGATTGGTTGGACTCCATGGCTTCGATGAGAACACTAACAATGTTTGATGTTGCTTTGACATTTAAATGTAAACAAGTAGGACTGCTAAACTGCATAATATTTCACAATTTCAGACAGCTGATACAAAGAAATTAAATATATTATTTTCCAATACTATGAGGTAGGTTTATTTTAATCTAACCTTTTATCATGGATTATTTATTCCAAAACTATGTCAATGATTTTATAAAAAAAAAGATTCTATAACCGTTGCTGTATCAACTCCGGCTCTGCTTTCAATGTTTTTAAAGCGTCTAAGTTAAGCAAATAGTGTTATTGATATGATTTCATGGAAACAGTATGAAAATTACAATGTATAGATGTTTTATATGAATTTGGAGGCTACTTTAAATAAATTCTAACTGCTTAACATGTGTTAGATTAACTTAACATAACTTGCACATCACATTGTTTTATATAATGTATATTTAGGTAAATTAAGTTATTGTGTTTCGCTAAACCTATGCTTAAATTAAACCAAAGAATATCATCAATAACTAAATTGTAAGTCGTTTATTTTTGTTTTTTAAAATCTGTTGTACATGTATGTGTAACTATAATTAATTATCAAATGGTAATACAAAATACTCTTATTTTATCTTAACATAGCTTTCAGTTCACATTTACTTTATTTGATAAATTTATTATTTGTGTTTTGCCACACCACTGATTACATTAAACCAAGAAAAATATCATAAAACTAAGCAGTGCACATTGTTCTTTTGTTTCTAAAATCAATGAAATACCTGTTACTATGTTTACTTAATGGTAAGTGTGAAAATGTAAAGGCAATGGACGATGGAACTGATTAAAAGAACTGGTTTGTAAATTAAGTTGTTTGTTGATATTTTTGTAGAGTAGAATCAGAGATGCAATGAAACATATACAGTAGACTCTTGATAATTCGAAATTGGTGGGCCAAGCATATAAATTTGAATTATCAAGAGTTTTGAATTATCAAGAGTTCGATTTATCGGGAGCAAAAAAAAAAACCATTCGAATTACAGAGAGTTAATTTGTTTAATACATACAAAGGTACAGCACGTTACAATAAAACATCATACCGTATTTTAGTACACTTTTAAACAATCAACGGCTTATTTTTCAGTTACTGTAGTTGCAAAGAAATCTGTTATTTAGCGCTATATATTTCGCCAATAGCTGAACTATCAGCTGTCGACAACTACGTTTGTGCTCAAGGAGATGTCGCGCAATCTAGAGATCGGATTGCCAACTTAGAAAAACAAGTCAGCGAACTAACTCTGACTACTGCTCTAACTAAACAAACATCAAAACGTCCAACACTAGCCTACCATGGGAACAGGATGTACTGTACTGTATAGTTTCCTGTTATAACAGGAAGAGATCACTTCGAATTATAGAGTGTTTTGCCGACTAAACTTCGAATTACTGCGTGACTTTGATTTATAGAGTGTTTTTTCGACGAAACTTCAAATTACAGCATGACTTCGAATTATAGAGTGTTAACCGACGAAACTTCGAATTACTGAGTTACTTCGAATTATAGAGTGTTTTTCCGACGAAACTTCGAATTACTGCGTGTTACAAATTGACCTGCCCTCTATTTGGACTTTGAAATACCGAGTGTATCAAAATGCATGGTAAAAATTTGAAATATTGAGAGATTCTCTAGGGACTGAGCCTTCATTTTGAATTATCGAAAGTTTTGAATTATCAAGTGTTTGAATTGCCAAGAGTGGACTGTACTGTATTTGCTGTTACATTTTTTAGGCCTTGATGCGTTTATAATCATATAAGTTTTGTTTGCTGTCTTTAATGCTAAATTATTTGTTAAACATTTTTTATAGTGCCTATAGGTATAGTTTCTTTAATATTTCAAGACTGTATTGATAAGGCACAGCAATATTTCTAAAGTTTATAAAAGCTGACTTAGTTTTGCTAATGATTTATTGTGAGTGAAGAAACTGAAGATGGAAGGATTTGTGATTTAATATAAAGAAGAGTGAAATAAAAAAAATGTTCACTTAAATTTAATAATTAGTAGTAACTCCAAAATTGAAATTTAAAATGTCAATAATAAATAAAAAAGATATTTAATTAAGGAAAATGAAATGGTGGTATACACTACATACCAGATTTAAAAGTCATAACTTAAACCCTCCCAGTGTCAAACATCGATGCATCGATGGTTAATGACACGCTCTGGGGTGTCAAGCGTCGATGCATCGATGGTAGTGCAGACACATATTGTCTTTTAACTCAGTCAATTTCAGTCCGATTTGGATTGGATTGATATCACTGTAAACAGCAGAAAACTGGCTTTCTTCTGGTGTCTTTTTCACAACCTTACTTTTGTTTGTCTGTTTCCAGATGTTTTGAGACAAAGACAATGTTTTGGTTGCCGTGTTGCGTGTTTTTGTTGTTGTTTACAAGTTGTTTGTTACTATATTTTTACCTGTTTAGACTACATATTTTGATGTACAAAATAATCAGTGATGACTTGTTGGTTTGATGTGTTTGCAGTTATATATTTGAAGGTTATGTGTAATGGCAGTAAAGTCATTGTAATAGGCCTAGTGAGTGATTTTGCTACTATTCCTCGATAATATTTATGACTCTTTTAGCTGTCCTAAAAATTAAGTTAACCATACTAAAGTTCATATTTTCTTTATCGCTATAATATTTAGAAATAAATGGCTATTTCAGATTTTTCATTTAGTTACAATTATTCATAAAAATAGGGGCACGAACATTTTTTTCATATTTTTATTTTGTATTTTTTATACTTCTAAGTACTTTTTTATGATAAAATAGTTATAAAAACCTAATTATTTGTACTGAATCATAATGTGCATATATTTAGCTGCACAAAAATATATAACATGGTATAGTTATTTTACAAAGTAGATTTGTTACATTTTTTAATAAATATTACTGCAAAATGCCCAAAAATCGTCTGACACCACACAAAAAATAACCGACACCAGGAGGGTTAAGGCCATAAAAGTTGAATTTTGTTTCTAAAAGCGTTGGCGGATGTGTAACTATTATATTCAACAGATGTAAAGATTAAAATTTTTCTATTTTGTGTTCTCTTCCCGTTGCAAAGCACGGGTACAACAGCTAGTTGTAAATAATATTTAATCTTTAGTTAATTATTCAAATTTATAAATGATGTTTTTTGGACTATTTGATGTCTTTATTAACCCTACAGCATTCCACCAACGTCAATTCAGACACACAAATATATAGCATAATAGCCAATAACTCCAATAACTGTGGTTTATGAATTATGATTTCACAAGCATTCAAATTATGTCTATATTACTATTGAATGGTTCATTAAATAATATGAAAACATACCTGTGTCAAGAAAACGTAGGGTGACCACCAGCCCCTTATTGCAGTATCCACTTTTTCTATCTTCGGCCCAACAATACAAATCAAATTCTCTAATTCAACAGGCAGACATTTTAACAAAATTTCTAAATTGTTTGGAATCTTCGATCCTTAGTTCTCCAATTAAGTTGTTAAACGCCCCCAACTCTCTTCTTCTTTCGATCCACTTCCTGACCCATATACTCATTTTCTTTTTCTTAACGCCAGTCCTTAACCAATGGTCAACAATCACAAGTGATTTTGATTCTCGTCGATGGCATCGTACTGACTAACTAGACCATTTGAGCAAGTCAAAATTGCATATGGAGCTCTCACGTGTAAATGGATATTAGCAAACTGTCGCAATAATCAGTGATAGCAGCTCGTACGAGGGCTCACGGACAACTCTCCAGAAAAAGTGTTTAGACTGTGCAACAATTCTTGCGCAAGTACTGTCGCAATTTTTCTTCCTCCTGTTTAAATATAGCTTAAGGATATGAAAACACTAGCCTACAACAAACCATGTTTCGCAGAGCCAGAAATTGACACAAGACTGTAAACAGCCACACTAAGAGGATGAAGAACACCAATTTGAAAACTTTGGGACCCTCTGCAACATAAATATTATTTAATGATAAATGTGAAGTAAATAATTTTTACTTACAGTCACCTGACATAAAGTTGCTAATTGCTGCATCTACTTACTTTTGCTGCACATTAGTATTTCAACCAAACAACACAAAACAGCGTGCTTTTATTAGACACGTAATATGTATAGGCTTGAAAATAATTTGGCAACACTTAAAGATATTATGACTACGATCAGCTGGTGCAGGGTTTCCCATTTCGTTCAATGTTTGGATTTAACCTAACCTAAAAACGTGTTGTACAGTGTTTGAAAGACTAATTATTTATAGTAACTGTAGGAAAAATATGTGTAACCTGAGGAGTGCAAACTGCCTTATTTAGTCATAGAATATTCAGTGCCGTGTCACTATATTATTTATTAGCAAGCCTTCCGTTTCACAATGCTTATAGCAATATGTCATCTGGTTTTATAAAGTGACACCAAATTAAACAGCAAGGAGTCTATCTTAAAATTAGTATCAATCAAGCAAAATTATTTCTCACTGCTTCAATTGTTGATTATTGAATAAAAATTAGGCCTATCTATAAATTAATTAGGTATACTGGTAAATTATTTTTGATTGGCCAGAACAACTTAAAAATACAAACACAGCAAATTAAAAAATTAAAACCAAGCTCAATGAATTAAAATTTGATTAATTAGTTGATCAATGGCCAATAAAAAATTTCAACCACAAACAAGTATACCTGTACGCCTATAGTACAGAATGATCTTCAAATGTATACAGAGTGTTTCCAAATTGTCTGGACTTATTTTGTGGGCTTGTTCCTTCAAAGGCAATGTAATAGGAGTACGGTAGCATGATACTGCTCTTAAGTTAGGTTTCTTATTAAATTGCGTAACCAAATGTAGGAAAAAACTGATGACTCTATTTGATTTGGATTTAAATTCTCTATCTTTTTGATCATAAAAACAATTTTCTTAATATTTACGGTTTTCATGAAATTCGGCATTAAAAATTTTAAATGGCCGCCATATTGAAACGGCTTGAGATATTGGAACAACTTTTTTTAGCTCTTTTTACCTTCAAAGCTACACATTTATACCAACTAGAGATTGTCCAGTGGTCGAAAACTTGACCTAAAATATGTAATGAACAGTTTCATTTCAATATAATATTTTTTTATTGTTTGTTGATACTGAACAATATTTATTTATTGTAGATGTCAGCTGATAAGTTTCGATTTGTTAATATAAAACAGGAAAGTACCACAATTTTGCCTATGTTGCAACATGATATGAATGCCGCCGTATTACGTTGTGTGGCTTCAGACTGGAAGTGTTTTCCAACAAAATCTGCATTCAATTCAATTTATTTATTTCCACAGTAATAGGCTAAGTTCATAAGTCCAATGTCTGAGCCACAAAACTACCGAGACACTTCTCTTACGCACATTTAAAACTATCTATCTAATTCGGTATAGGAACTACATCTTGTTGATTTAACTATCATATTGCAGAGACGGTTTCTTCTTTCTACCCGGCTAGAATGTTCGCCATAGCCCTTTTATTCACCGCGGTTTTATAAATGCATTGCCGTAAATGGGTGCTTTTATTCAAATGGGAGCGGTCTCAGAAGTTGCGGATACCCGCGGAGGTTTGTAAATTCACCCGCTTGCACTTAGAAACCGCTGGCGGGTAGCAGTTTGTATATGCATTGTGTTATACGGGATCGTTTATTCAACGCGGGAGCCCGCCGTCGCTGGCGCATTGCTACCAACCCAAGTCACTAGTGTCAACCAATACACGTGGTCTAGTCATTCGGCTGTGCGCATTATCTACTACTTACTAGTCAATAGTATGTATATTTGTTTGGTCGTGTACATAGCTGAACCTCTCATCGTTAAAAATGACTTCATGTCATGTTACGGACATAAATACTGAAAGATTTTGTCTGAAATTATCTACAGTAAATAAAATTTTGATTGAACACCACTCTGGCACTATTTGAAACTTTTACAAAGGATTTATTTTACTATAGTGTGTTTTAGCTAGATTTCAGGCTTAAATAGCAGCCGTTGAAGTGAATCGATGACAGTTCTCAGTTGTAAACAGGAGTATACATTAAAAAAACAAAGGTTTTAACAAACAAGGGTTGGCAGCACTGTTACACTATCCACATAATAGTGAATCGATAGGGGTCGATCGCATGTGACACATTGGTGCAGCGGTCGCCCGGCGGGCAACCGCGGTGAATAAAAGGGGCCATAGAGACATTTCAGAATGATACTCGAAAGTCACTCAAGTTTATAACAAACAAATACAGTAAAAATTTCACTAAACAAAAAGTATGTAGGTATATAATATTCGGACATATCACACAGCACACAATCAGTGCAAAATAGGACTCACCACCACTACAAACTAAATTTGTTTATGTTATTATTTTGATTTTATATTTTAGATTATGATTGCTTTACAGCTGGTTAAAATACCGCAAAACAAATATTATTAATGTACACACGCCAACGTGGTTTACAGTGCATTTCATACAGTACACATTTTAAAAGTAAACATGTGATAGGAATTTCTTTAATTTGTTTTGATTTTCTGTTAATATTGCGTTGTTATTTCATTACCAGCATGGCAACCCATAAGACCCATGTTAACCCTTTCAGCGCTAGGCCAATAATTCATATTTTTTAAGACTTTTTTGTTTGCCTTTTAATTCCAATAGGCCTACCTGTTGTTGAATTTTAACTGTCATGTTGTCACTATTTTATTAATTAGGCTAATTTTGAATAATAACGCAATAAGAAAATATATAAGAAAGATAAATCCCGGTATTTGTAGTAAACATTAAATAAAACTTGGTTTTTGTTGTAATTTTCCTGGTTTTCCCATAAATTTTTATGTTCTGATAGCATTATTTGAAACCAAAATCTCATAAAATCAAAAGACATATAGTTTACAATGTAATATTGAATTTAACCTTGATTTAGTTGGACGAGGTTATCGTAATATAGCCATTTTAGAGAAACTAATGTTTTGCAGCCAAGTCTCAGGAACACATTTATGATCACAGTTGTGTTTAAACTAAAAAATTTCATCTAAATAGTCCGTGCTGCTACCTAGTAACGCATTGAACAACCATCTGTAGCGCTATCTGTTCGCAATCGGTGGCGTCAGCTTAAATACCGGTTTTTGACTCCTCAGTCTTCAAGCACAGATAGCCGAGAAGGCTAGGGCGTGTGTCACTTGGCCAGTGGCATTCGTCTGCTCGGGTTCGAATCCTGTCCTGTGTGGCAAATAATTGGTGACCTGTGTGTTTGTAGCGATATACTACAACCACTGGGGCATAGTGAGGTGTTGATAATCCTTGGTTTAGACATACACCTCGAAATCATCGGATTGGGCGAATCTTTTAGCTAAGTGGTTGTTAGTGTATCCTATGAACATGCAGGTCACCAATGGCCGTTTTGCTATTTTTTTTTTAAATAACCTTCCTCTCTATATCCCTTAGAGATTTTTTAAAACAACGATATATCGTTTCATAGCACTGAAAGGGTTAATTTTTTGAAATTTAAAATTCATTTTTTGTGCTTATTTTTGAGCCTATTTTAATTTATAAAGTTATTCTGCACATCTACAGGAAAATATCTTTCTAACAGTATGCGTAGATTTTCTCTGTGATGCACGTGAGCTGAGAAAAAAGGTTTTAAAGAAACATGCTTGCCTATAGATTTTTGCCTATTTTTTTTTGCCTATAGATCAATATTGAAAAGTTTCCAAGATATAAAATAATTTTTAAAAATCGCAAACAGGGCAACAGACAGAAATATAGGCATTTTAGACCCATACTTATAAGGCATTTTAGACCCATACTTATAAGGCATTTTATGTTTGTCTTAGCCCAAGGATCAAGTCCACAAAATATGTCCAGACAATTTGGAAACACCCTGTATAGCTGTCAAATTAAAAAAATAAAATTTACAACTTACGAAACAAGTTTTCCAAAGTCAACCTGCAAAATGGGACTTGGCAACTGCATTTCTAAAAGCAAATCTGTAGCTCGGTATCCTTGAGGATCAATTTCTGTGTCTGGCTGCGGTTGAAATATCCTTAAAAATCCACTATGACTGCCAACAATTATACAATCAAACCCCTGTGATAAAATGTCTGTTACGACCATGCAGCCGTTGTCATAATGTTCATCTTTTCCACACAACGTGGACCACAGCTCTCTTGATTTGAAAAGAGACATTGAATTTTCCTATCTGAAATAGATGATTAGATTTAATTTCTTTTAAGTTAGGTAGGTAGGTAGGGTGTTAGTTCTGGTTCCAGTAACCAACAACTATGAATATGGAAAAAATATAGAATTCCTAAAAATTGGTAGGCCTATAGTCGATCATTATTAGAAACAATGGGAAGATATACAACTTCAGGTTTAAAAAATAAATTGTTACTAGGTGGAATCCGGCAAAATCGACCTATGGTTACTTAGGTTATTTAGGTTTCACAGCTAGCTGATATAGATTAATAGAGTGAAGTTATAAAAATCTTGGTTAAATAAGGGGAGGGTAAACATAATTATGAAGATTGAGCACCTTACAAAACGTGGTTGATGAATTCTTTGAATACAATATTCTTTGAATACAATATTTCCTGTCCTTTCATGGGCAACAGGTCGCCCAAAAAGTTTTGAGGAGTCTTACAACTAATAGTATATTGTTCATGAGCTTTGGTCATGCTAAAGCCTCTTTCACCACATGGTAAAAGGAGATGTTATAATTGGTCTGTGATCAAATCAAATCAAATTGTCTTTATTTCATATTGTACATAAATCAGTACATGGAATGGCGTCAAAAACTTTATCTAAAACTTAACATAAAGAAATCAAGTCTAATAGAAATAAAACACTAATTTAACATATATTCTTCTAAAGAGTATAGAGAGGTAGTGACAACAAGTGGTACTTCAAATGTTTTTTAAATTTGAAAAAATTATTTTCTTTATTAATGTGATCAGGAAGTTTATTATAGAATTTACCTCCAGCATGGGTAGTTTTCTTTTCATATAGACTTATTCTATGGGCAGGTGCTGCAATAGTACCCCTATTTCTTGTATTGTAGGAGTGGAATTCACCTAATAGAGGTAAGTCTGCAAAATTTTGTCTACAATATAAAATTACTTCATATACATGCTGTATACAGTCATTATTCCAATTTTTTTAAATTCCTCTTTGACGGTCTCTCTCCATTTAATATCCAATATTATTCTCAATGCTCGTTTTTGTAAAATTAAAAGCCTATCCAAATTTCTTTTACTTGTAGCTCCCTAGATGCAGATACAAAAATTTATATTTGAATGAATATAGGCTAAGCAAAATATATCATTTTTAGTGTTTTAAGATCACAAAGATTAGATAATTTATACGAAGCATACAAACCAGATGTGACCTTTTTAGCTATCTGTTCAATATGTAAATCCCAACTTAAATTGTTACTCATTATCAAACCTAAAAATTTGGTGTTAGTTATTGGAGATATTTTATTTTTATTTATAGTAGCCTAATTGAGATGGAATTTAATTTATTTTTGTTGTTGTTGATGGCACTGATTGGCATTAAATTTGTTTTTGAAATATTGAGCAATTAGGCCCCTGAATATGTGGTTTGACCTAGAAATAATTAGAACACAGATGAAACCATTGTTGTTCGATAGTGAAAAGTATTGTGAATAACATATCAAAAGTCTCCAAAAATATCTTTGGTGGAACACCACCATTTTTCCAAAATGGCGGCCAAATCCAGTAGTTTTTTGCTTTTTATTGAAATTCTCACTTTCCAGTCAATATTGGTGAAAAGTCGTCAATACATTTAATGTTCCTCCTGAAATTACCTTTTAAATGATACCAAATACATGTACCTACAACAAAAATAAACCCCGTAGAAATAATAAAATATTTCAAATAAAAATATTTTTTATAAATTAATGTAATAGTCCAAGCAAACTAAAAATAACGTACACAGGGATCGTATAAAAATTTGCAAGTAAACATGTTATGGTTTTATTTTTATTGTTGTGGTGTGCAGAGTGACATACCAAAAGTTGCAAAAATCAGTCCACGGGAAACCCCTAAATTAAGGAAAAATGGCGGCTTTTCCCAATATTGGACAAATTTTGCAACAAAAGATACCACATGGTTTTTTGCACATTTTTCGAGATATTGACTTGGAACCACGACCGATATTTATTGGATGGTCCGTACTTAATTTCAATAGGAAACGCTTTTTGGGCCGCCATCTTGGATCAGCCATATTGGATCTGCCATATTGGATATAAATATTTTTTAATGTAATTATAGTGTTGTGACACATCATTATGAAATAGATTTCCACGCTGATTTCAATGCTGAAATCCGTTTTTAAATAAGTTTTTTCGTTGCTTAAGATATATTAAAACAAAAACTCTCCCCTATACATCAGTTATGGACGTATCGTAAATTACTTTGAAAATGTGTTTGGACTATTTTTCTCCAGGTATTATTATTGCTTGCAGTTCGTTCTAGCCTTAAAATATTCAGTGATAAAAGATCTTTCATTTTAGTTAGCTTTCATTTTGTTTTATTTATAGTTAAAACAGACTAGTTATAGACGAGGTACAAACCCCAACACAAAATTAAATTAAACTTTTTTTATCAGTTTTTGTTAAAAGATTTATATCTCGGGTTGTTAATATGTTAACAAGTTCATTCTGGTATCAAAGTACTCAGTAAATGTTTGGCTTTAATTTTATTGATTATTAAATGACACATGACAAATTTAAAACGAATCATGTGGTCCTACCTTCAATGAACTATTGAATGAATTATTGTTACAGTATTTTGAAATTTGTCTTTAGTTAAAGACATTTATCTCCAATTCTAAACCACCAATAACCATCCAATAAATATCGGTCGTGGTTCCAAGTCAATATCTCAAAAATGTGCAAAAAAACATGTGGTAGGCTATCTTTTGTTGCAAAATTTGTCCAATATTGGGAAAAGCCGCCATTTTTTCCTTAATTTAGGGGTTTCCCGTGGACTGATTTTTTGCAACTTTTGGTATGTCACTCTGCACACCACAACAATAAAAATAAAACCATAACATGTTTACTTGCAAATTTTTATACGATTCCTGTGTACGTTATTTTTAGTTTGCTTGGACTATTACATTAATTTATAAAAAATATTTTTATTTTAAATATTTTATTATTTCTACGGGGTTTATTTTTTGTTGTAGGTACATGTATTTGGTATCATTTAAAAGGTAATTTCAGGAGGAACATTAAATGTATTGACGACTTTTCACCAATATTGACTGGAAAGTCAGAATTTCAATAAAAAGCAAAAAACTACTGGATTTGGCCGCCATTTTGGAAAAATGGTGGTGTTCCACCAAAAATATTTTTGGAGACTTTTGATATGTTATTCACAATACTTTTCACTATCGAACAACAATGGTTTCATCTGTGTTCTAATTGTTTCTAGGTTTTGCTATTTATTTTCTTATTTTAAGGCGCCTAAATAGTTGATGATCACTAAAGAAGTTATTTATATCACTTAGATTATTGCTAATAGATTGTTCTATTTCTATGGCAGATTTGCCACTTATTTTCAAATTGGCATCATCTGCATAGATGCAAATTTTGTTTCCCTTATTACCAGAAATGACTTGAGGTAATCCATTTACATATATTAAAAATAAAAGTGGGCCCAAAATTGAGCCTTGGGGCACCCCATGGTTAATTAGTTTCATCTCCGATTTTTGAATAACTAAATTATTTTGACTGTTGTAAACTAGCTCAACATATTGTTTTCTGTTTTTCAAGTAACTTTTTAGCCAGGATAACATAGATTCTTTAATTTTTAGTTTTGCCAATTTATTAATAAGTAAAGAATGTGAGACACTGTCAAAAGCCTTAGTTACATCTAAGAAAACTCCTACAACCTTTTCTCCCTCATCAATTGAATTTATTACAGATTCTATGAACTCAACCGCCGCAGTTACAGCAGACCGCCCTTTTCTGAAACCATGCTGCTCTTTGTCAATTTTTTTTTCCAAAAAAGTTATTAATCTATGATACATTGTTTTTTCATAAATCTTAGAGATTACTGGTAGCAGCGACAATGGTCTATAATTTGACATAGTTGATTCATCTCCTTTCTTGAAAAGAGGCTTAATTTTGGAAATTTTTAGTTTATCTGGAAAAATGCTACTAATGAAAGAGGAATTTATTAAATGTACTAAAGGTTTTATTAAATATTTCTTAACATATTTAACTAAGGACATTGGGATATCATCATAGCCGGATGAATGCTTATTATTTAAAGAACTTATTATTTTGTCTATTTCTTTGTCGCTGACAGGTTCACATTTAAAAGTATGTCAAGTCTGGTTAAAAGTCAGTTTTAGCATTATTTAAGTTGGGATATTCATTTAATTTAGGTATCACATCACGATCTACAATGTTAATGAAATAATCCTTGAACAAATTGCAAATCTTGTTAGGACTAGAGTAAACATTGTTATCTACTTTAATACTAGATATACTAGGAGTACGCTCCGAAGTCGCGTATGAGAATGAACGAAGACCATATCATACATACAAATAATTTGCCAACAATAACCATATTCATATCAGCTGATTAAGCAGGATGGTTTATGGCAAAGCCAACCTTGGTCTAACGTCTTAAGGCAGGTTTGATCAAATCCACAAAAAGGAACAGGTAAATATTCCCAGTTTCTGCGATTTATAATCAAAGAATATATTTCAATGTGTTACAAAAACAGCAATTGCTCTAATATGCTGAGTAATAGTAATATCGGTTTCACAATCTATCACCAGGAGCTGTACCATTTTCAAATACCCCTGCTGTAGCAAACCTGCAAACTAAGTGAATTTCCCTTTACCTAGCTGGATTTTTATTAAAATATTCCCTTATAAATGTAAGAATTATTTCATAGTACCGGGGGACTGAGCTTTGTCCGGAGAAAATCATTAGAGTTTACTCTGAAAGCAGTCTTAGTATTGCAAAAACATTAATCCATCTCAAACTCCATAATGCTCGCTTTTACTACTTCCTTCCCATAGCATTTTAGGATTTCAGATACATTATTGTAAATGCCACTCTGCACTGCTAGCCTTACTACTTCCTTTACCATTTCCTACGTCATGGGCCTGTTTCCTTCCCTTCTCATAGCATTTAAGTATTACAGATAAATTAATCTAAC